GCCAACTTTGGGCCCAAGATCAATAAAATTGACATGTCTGTTCCATCATGCAAACGCTATTTATTTTCAACGAAACATGCAAACGCATTCCGACTGTTGATGATTTTTGTTGGTCGTTTCAGGAAGAAACTATAAATTTGAATAAAACATGTCATTACGAGCAATGCGGCCTATGTCTGAAAAAATATTGACATTTGGGATCGTTTGGGTTTCCAGTTGCCAGGTATATACATTTATTAATTGAAGTCGTGGCACACATGCACATTGTGATTTAAACATATTTAATTTAACATTTTTAAACATTTTAAAACATGTTCTTTCTTACGCGCCATTTTTTCTTCCCATCATCGATCTTCATGGAGGCATTCCAGTTTTCCTGGCACCCCTTCCGGGCAAAACATCCAACACCACTTGCCTTTTAATAAATTAAGAGCTGTGCGCAGTGCAATATGTGCACATTGACCAAACCCTGTAGCAGTTCTGTAGAGATTGACATGTTTTGCTTAGGACTTGGCAGGAGAAATCAGTTTGTAAAGATGGAGCAGATGTGGTTGATCGCGCAGGAGGTCGCAGAAAAGATCTTTGATCATTTCCAACAGCTTCAACCCCAAATCGTTGGGGCGTTGCAGTCTGGCATTGACCAATTGACTCGGCCACCAGACTCCCCCACTGGTTTAGAGCTTCGACTGGCCGATTTGCAAGAAACGCTGCTGGCAAGGGACAATGAATTAGCCATCTCGCGGAAACAAATTCAAGATTTGCAAATGAAGCTTGTGCGCAAGGAAAATGAGAATGCAGCACTTATGCCACTACGATCTCGCGTTAGCAGCTTGAAATTTAAGTTGTTGGAGAAGGACGCGGAAGGGATTTCTCAAATTCAGGATTTGCAAATGAAGCTTGTGCGCAAGGAAAATGAGAATGCAGCACTTATGCCACTACGATCTCGCGTTAGCAGCTTGGAATTTAAGTTGTTGGAGAAGGACGCGGAAGGGATTTCTCAAATTCAGGATTTGCAAATGAAGCTTGCGCGCGAGGAGAACGCCAGGGCAGCACTGGTACCACTCCAGTTGCGTGTCGACTTTTTGGAGTTTAAACTGTTGCAGAAGGAGGGCGAAATTGTTGCTACACAGCAGGGTTTGCATGGGAAACTTGAAAGGATGGAGACTGAGAAGTTGCAATCTTGCATGGCTCAAATCAGTCATCTAGAGAAGCAGCTCGCGCAGAAGGAGAGCGAAAGGGTGTTAATGGCGCAGAGGTTTGCCACGCAACCACAGGTAGATGGTGAAACCTGGCAATATCAAACCAGCCGTGGCAAGTGGATCTCGTTTCCAGATCCTCTGAAGACGTTTGTAAGCCTTTTTCTTGAGGGTATACAAGGGTATAACATCGGGATCATCGGGGTGCGGATCATGATTTATCGGTTTATCTTTTTGTTCATCGGTTAAGTTTAGCCTAGCCAGAAAGCAATCTTTGATACCGCTGGCGGCGGCGGTTCAACGAACAAGTTTCACAGTCCTTTCGGAGCGTTTCTCCTGGTGAATGTTTCTTGCATGTGTCAGGAACCTGCCAACAAAGAGCTCATTGTCAAGGCCAGGGAGAACCATGATGCTTTCCAGATTGTCATAGATGAGAGAACGTATGACATCGAATTCAAGAAGGGCAAGAAGGAAGTAAAGATCCGCTGTTTTGTTGGTCTACCGAGCTTGCCACTTCATTGGAACGCGCGGCTTCATCAAGGGTTGTCTGGCAACCTGATGCTGCTGAAGAAAGTGACCGGCAAGAGAACGCTGGAGAGACTAGCTGAGGTCTTGAACGGGTCGCGTGCCCGTCATGATGGTACAGTCTGCAAGTGTGTTCATGGCAGCTCAAACTTCATCGTGACTGAAGCTTACCAGGTTAGAAATCTTCACTTGTGGCGCCGTTACCACCGCTGCATTCGATCTATTTGTGACAAACACCGGCAATATGGAATCTCCCCTGAACACATCCGCCACCCACCAAGCAAAGCTTTGATTGATTTTGCTACAGATATCGACGTCGACCAAGCAAGCAATGAACTGCTTCTTCTACACGGTACACCACATTTTGATGTCGCAAAAGTTATTGCAACAGAAGGCTTTGACCACCGGGTCGCCGGCAATGGCCTCTATGGGCAAGGGACATACTTTGCAGCGCAGACCTGCAAAGCTGCTCAGTATGCCACCGTGCATGGAATGTCATTGAAAGCTTCCACGCAGCTGGTGGGAACCATGCTCTTGGCTCGGGTGGCTATAGGAGATCCTTTCTACACACAAAGTGAATGGCACTTCTCACGCGCCTTGACGGAAATAATTTGTGTTCCAAACTTAACCGACTTGGAGTTCAAATCTCACTGTTTCCCCCCAAAAAGGGCGAGGTTCATGGCGGTGTCTCTCTTTTGGGTTTTAATCATTTTTAATCGTTTCGCCGCCGGCTTCACCGAAATTATCCAAACTGGAAACAGGTCCTCCAGAGGAACGGCGTGCGAGCTGATTCCATCATTGCAAGGCCCGGCACTTCCCACGGCCCTTCAGCTGGAAGACAGAACCACTTGGAGGTGGTGACATTTGACCCTGCGCAGGCGTATCCTGAGTTCATTGTGAATTTCGTAGAGAAGTAGCTACATGCATTGCAGAAAACACACCCTCTCAATGCGGCCAAGGCGCCTTTGACAGATGTTAACGTGCATGCCTGCGTCGCTCAAGATGAGAGATGAACTTGGTAGGGTTAAGATTGATTACAATTTTGCCTTGCACAATGTCACAAACGACGTTGTGCATAGTTTGGTGATTTGGCAATAGATGGTGCAAAAACGTGGGATTGTTGAGTAAGTTGTGCGGCAGCTCACTTGGACTTTACAGGATTGGTCCATGTATCCAAAATCGTGAGAGAGTTTGGTAGTAATGATAGCATGAAATGATATAATTTCCATGAAGGTGAGCAACCAAAAATTTCGAACAAACTTATTCATAGCAGTTTGGGCTGCAGATTACGCAATGACCGCAAGAATTTTCGGCTCATTGTTTCACCAGGACAGTCTGCCTAGGAACAGTGCTTTGGACGTGTTCTTCTGCTAATCTTTTTCGCTTCAGTATTGCTGCAAACACTCATTGACATGGCACCCCTTCGGGCTGGAACTAATGGATAGTTAGTTTCCAGTGAGCAGCAAATAACTCAGTGGGCATGGTTGCAGCGAAGTATCCCATGAGGGCCATGATTGTCAACAACAGCAACACAAACGTCATGACATGCGTATGTACCTGCCATGGCAGTGGACCGACATGACACTGAGACATCATCAGGCCTGCAGAAAAGCAGTTCACATTTTTCATATGATGCACGGCAAATGTAGATACCTGGATGTGTTTGTTTTTTTTTCTGCGGGGAAATCCCCTTCTACAAGGCTTATGGGATCGAAGACTTCCAATTTGATCGTAAAATACAATTGGAGGAAAAAATGTGCGTTACAGCCAGCATTGCTAATATACCAGAAATCACCAAAATTAACAAAAAAATAATGAACTGGATTTCAGAGAGTATCACCGCCTCCAAAATCATGTAATTTCGGGGCATTGGTTGCCAAGCGTCCTTGGCGATTTGCCTTGCAAGGTTTGGAAAAATGGCGAAAACGGTTGGAGGCAATTTCCAGTTTGGGCATTTGAGAAATTTGAACGTCAAACAATTTTCAATTCAAGCAGGGTTGTGTTGGAACCCATTGCAGCCCTGGACATTGGATCAGTTGATGCGCAAATGTCCTGAATCTCAGAAAATACCTTGGGCAGGAGGCCCTCAACCGCTTCAATGCTGAGTCCACAAGGTGCGCCAAACAGACAACAAAAGGTGTTGACGATGGGCCCATGAAAACATTGGTCATTTTGAATTCTAACCATCCATGTCTACAACTTCAAGTTATGATAATTCATGGAGTTATCACATGTTATCACCAAACACATGTGTCTTTCTAGTATGTCATCCAGGCATTGATGGGTCCACTCTTGCAGGGGCAACGTACTGGCTTAGGAACTCCAAAGTTTCATGCAAGTACTTCTATAATCCTGTATATTTGTTCCCTACCATTGTGATATTCTGATCATTTTCCATCTTCCAGGTGCAAGGCATTGGGCCGCAACTGCCATTGCTGTGAGTCTGGCCCCCCCCACTTTACAGTGCCTTTATACATGGTAAAATCCCGACTCCTTGGTCAAATCCCTGCCGATATCTTCGATACAAAGCCAGTTAGGCTCAGTCGTTCATGGTCAATGGGCTCATTGTGGTGACATTTTGATTTAAATGTATTTGCTTCCTTCCTCATTCTCAGGTAGATCTTCTAGTTATAGTTGTTCGTGCAGCATATGGGTCAATTTTTCCCGGACTTCATGATTTTAGCATGGTACACAGCAAACATCAGGACGGATGCCCCACTTAGCCCGCCCAGTACAGCATCAACGGGGCAGGCACTGGTGATTTGGAGATCGTCCATGGTGTTCAGTATTGTTTATTAAAATGAATTCATGACATCGAAGTCTCAATTGTTCCCTACCGTTGTGATATTCTGATCATTTTCCATCTTCCAGGTGCAAGGCATTGGGCCGCAACTGCTATTGCTGTGAGTCTGGCCCCCCCTTCTTGGTCAAATCCCTGCCGATATCCCCGATACAAAGCCAGTTTGGCTCAGTCATTCATGGTCAATGGGCTCATGGTGGTGGTGACTGTTCATTTGATTCACAGATTTAAATGCACGTATTTGTTTCCTTCCTCACTATTCCATTCCCAAAGGTACTTGGAGATGTGGCTGACGACGCCAGCCTGACCGGAGGTGTTAGCGACGCAGCTCAGCCCGATGAAAAGTGCCACCAGGGGTCAGCGGTTTCAGCTGTCTCCGCCCTATGTGTCGACCACCTTTGAAGCTCCCAGTGACCGGTTGAGATGCTGCAACTAGCCGGTGACACCAGTTGTGACATGTTGTGTCCCATTTGGCTCATAGTGGGCACTAGTCACGGGAAAAGCAGTAGGGCGTTCTTTGAGGCTGGCGCGTCAAAGATGCAAACAGTTGATGGTTGGATGGTGATGGGGATTTGTCATGATATCTTGATTTGATGTTGTTTTCTCCTGTTTTCCCGTTGTCTTTCCTTACTCCGCATCTCGATAGGATAAGGCTGAATTGACTTCGGTTTACGAGACTGGCATGTGTTGGTGGTCTAAAGATGGCTGGTTGATGCTGGTTGGTAAAATAATGCTGGTATATTTTTCCCCGTGCTCATCAATCTGAAAGGGATGACGCAAATGACCAACGTGAATGGCAGCCATATATGAGGGTTTGGAAAATGTCACCGCGGGAGCCCAAAAGGTAGATTTGTCAATGCCTTTTGCGACCATTTCGACTGCATTTGTTGGCCATAGGCCATAGTTCAGAATGTTCAGACAAATGGGCAATAGAAAAATGGTTCCACCAAGCCATCTCTACGTTGGGTTCCATCTGAAATGTTGCAGCTTTCTGGGGTTCTGCAACATTCTGCAACAAAAACATTGGAATGCTGCCTTGGGTATCGTCAGATGGTCCAGCCCTGTCTCCCATCTCCAACTTCCACGGCACTGAGCATATCAGCAATGATGATCTCACCTGTGCCGATGCTCAGGTGCGAGGCACCCTGTGTGAAAGGTGTGGACCCTGGTTTCCTCAAAGCTGTTTTTTCCGCATTTCAGGGTTGATTTGGAGTTGCCAAATCTCTGAAACGTGGGTATTCTTTGTATTATTTTGTATTCTTGGTAGCTATGGCAACATCTGACAGCTCAACAAGACTAAGAGCCGCAGAGTGTGATTTCATAATGTGTTGAAGTCAACTTGAACCCATATCGCACCATATCCCAGTTGTAGAGGTCTAAAAACATTCATATCTCCATAGAGTTCCCACTTGATCTTTCGCTTCTTTTTGATCCGCTTGAGCTCCTCCTTTCAGGCAGTGTTCATCCTGATCAACGAGACTTTGGTCCTCGCAGCCTTCGACCAGAATGTCAGAGGTGCTGTGCGATGAAGATTTGGAACTGAGAGATGGGAATTTGCGGTGGAATTGAGGGACGATTTCGTAATTCATGATAGTGGGATTTGGCACTGAAGGAATGTGAATTGTTGATTTGTGTCCGTCCGTCAAGTGGGTGAATGTTGAGCACAGCAGGCCCAAGAACTAGCCGATGCAGAGGAAGCTGCAAGATGTCCCGTTCTTGGAGAGATCTGAGGGGTTGAGATTCTGGCTCATCGGGATGAGATGAGGAAATGATAAAGCATGGTCAAGCATGAAAATAGATTGACAATGATTGACATATAGCTGCATATGAGACCTGCGAATGATCATCACATGATGCCAACACAGGTCATAAAAATCCATACCATGCGAGACAACACAATACCATGGAAATGCAATAGCAGTAATTACATCAGATGACATGTATGCATGCACGCAAACATACATATGTACAGTCACAGTGAGGTGCTAAGAGGATTTGACTGACAAACATTTCTATATAGACGTGTATAATAATACAGCACATGCATTTATCATCATTCATGACTTTCAGATGATGAGATGGTAAAACATGTAAAACTCATGACCCATGCGCAATACATTGACTATGTCGATTGAGTACACAACTTGGGTGCAACTAGGCTGAGACACTTAGTGGTCCATTCCAATTCCTGTGTGCTTGCATGAAAGCCAACAAGAGGAGATCATGATGAAAGATATGAAAGCCTTGGATTGTCTTAAAATCATGTCAAATCCAAAGTTGACAAAGTGTCACCAGCTTCATGTCCTCAAGACATCTCAAAACATTTTCCCAAAGATGATTTCGTGTGATTTCCATCTGATCCCGACCAAAAGGAATCGGGTTCGCGGCCCTGCCGGGGCCCTCCCGGGGCGGCCCGTGGCCCCCCGAGGCGGCAACGACATCGTCCGGGCGGCCGACCGGGGTTTGCTCGGCGCGGTGCGGCACCTGCTGCGGACGGTGCCCGGCGCCGCGGCCGCGAAGGACGACTGGGGCCGGCGCCGCACCGCGCTGCACTGGGCGGCGGGCGAAGGCCACGGGGAGATCTGCCGGGTGCTGCTGGCGGCGGGGGCCGAGGTCGACGCCAGGACTGACGTGAGTGTCTCGGCCCTGAAGAGATGGATACACGGTGCTTTGGGAGATTTCAGGGTGCCAAAAAAATTCGAACGCAACATGTGAAATGTAAAGGTTTTGGTGAGTAAACCATTGTAAAACTTTGGGCGGTTTTGGTGGGCTTGGTAGGTTTTGAAGCTTAAAAAAAGGCAGTTTTCAAGTTTCCAGTTGAAATCATTTGGATCAACAACCACACATGGACAGAATTTGAAAAAACAGAAGATATCAATAGATATCACACGATTGAAACAACTATAATTTCAATCATGAAAAGAACTGAACTTGGCGGTATTTGGGGCTCCTGATGGAGCCTTGGATGTGCAGCTTCTCGGAGACTTGGCACATTCATGGATTTTTCACAGTTGTCTTCGCTTTGCTTTGCATCAGAATGGGAGCAGTCGCTCGCCCGAGGTGGTACCCCGCTGCACGAGGCGGCGGACAAGGGCCACGGGGAGATCTGCCGGGTGCTGCTGGCGGCGGGGGCCCAGGTGGACGCCAGGGACGACAGTGGCCTCTCGGCCCTGAAGAGATGGACACACGGTGCTTGGGGCAGATTTCAGGTTGCAAACAAAATCGAAATCAAAATGTGAAATGATGTGAAATGATGTGAAATGATGTGAAATGATGTGAAATGATGTGAAATGTAAACGGTAGGGTGGGTTTGGTGGGTTTGGTAGGTTTTATAGAGCTTTAAAAAAGGAAGTTTCCAGTTGAAATAATTTGGATCAACAACCACATCACATGGTCAGGATTTGTAAAAACAACAGATATCATCACTCAATTCAAACAACTATAACTTGAATTTTTGAAAGTAATGAAAGGATTTGAATTGGGGACATTTTCAGCTTTTGATGGAGCCTTGGATGTGCGCCTTCTAGGAGACTTGGGACGTTCATGGATTGTTCCATTTTTCACATGCTTCGTTGTTTTCGCTTTGCTTTGCATCAGAAGGACATTTCTGGGGGCAGTCGCTCGCCCGAGGTGAGACCCCGCTGCATTGGGCGGCGGCAGAAAGCGGCCAAGTGGAGGTGGTGAACCTTCTCCTTGAGGCGAAAGCCTCCGTCACTGTGAAAGACGACAAAGGCCGGGGGCCTCGGCTGGGAGATGTGATGGGCTTTTGATGGCTTTTGCTTTCTTATCTGATTCTATTGTATTACTATACTTATTATAGTACTTTATGGTGGCTGTTTTGTTTGTTGAACGTTGAGACTTCCTGTGGTCGGGAGGCCATCAATGGGTCTTAGGGTCCTCAGGCACTAGGGTTGTTTAGCTGAAGGTGATTGGAGATGCGGAGACACAGTACGCATGTAGACAGGCATTCTACCACATCCTCAAGACACAGCATTGCTTGAGACAACGCACGCAGCATGGGACGAGGTCTCAATGGATGGAGACTCACTGAATGTTTGTTGATAGAAATGTATCATGATGTATCATATGATCCATGGTATCTGTGAATATGCACAACGCACATCCAGCCTCCGCATGTGCAATACGTTGCATGAAAATGATGCGTGCATACTACATATACAAATATCCTCATTTGTTCGAGATATTTTTCAAGATGCCAGAGCGAAATTATACAACACCGAACTTGCCATCTCGAAGCTGTATGGGCATGTATGGACAACCCGATTCTCTAGATGTTTTTCTCATTGGAATTCTTTGCCCTCCTGGACTGAACTAGCACAGGAACCGTCCAATTGGTTGATTTTGTGTTGAGGGTATTTTACTTGAAAGCAATATCTCGGGAATACTTTTCTTACGTGCTTATATCCGTGAGAAGCACCATTTCAAATGCATGTGTTATTTGTTTTGGTCTGGGGGTTCGAATTTGAAGGTCTCCTTCAACTTCGAATGCCACAAAAGGATGCGGAAGTGATGTGAAACTGCAGTCTTTCCAGCTTTCCACAAGTTTCAACACAGTCTATGAACCCTACCATGAAAGTTAATGGCAAGCTCTGGACTCTGGCCCTGGGGTTCAAGGAGGGCTTGTCTCCGGGAGATAGAACTTCCGCCCAATCAACATTGTTAACGTGGGGTGTGAATAGCGTTTGGAGCAACTTGAATAGCTGGCGTGAAGAATGAGGGCAACATCAGACGCTCTACAAATCTCTACAAGTAAATTCTTCAATATATATGGCTTTTGAAATGACATCAAGACCCATGAGTGTGGTGCAATCAACATCAATTGCAGCGCTCAGGCCGGACTCCATTGGACCATGCACGAACACAGGGCAAGGATGAAGTTGTGAAGATTCTGGAGAGTGCAGAATCTTGGCTGCACAAATGTGTCAACGATAGCAGGTCGTTCGTTTCGGAGTCCGAAGCTTCCAGCAAGACGCAGCTACAGCCACAGATTTTGATTGTGCCTTTGCTTTACCTGAGGCATGAAGCTTGAACGTTTGAGCGTGGAGCAACTCAGCTGTTGGTGCGATCTCTGGATTGATGGTGCGGCCTTGATGTTTCACGCGCCCTTGGTCATATCGGTACGAAAATGCAAACATCTGTGCGCGCACAAACAGATTACTGTTTTCCGAGAGGTGCAGAATTGAAGGAACATGTTTCTCATTTGAGTTTTTTTCTTGCTCAGATATGTTTCGACCACGGAAACGACACTCTATCAGCGAGCCTTCTGGAGTTTCCTTCCAACCATTTTGTTTGCTTGAAGTGTCTGGAGTCATCATGCTGCTTCTTGGCACATCCTTCCAAGTCTGTGGTCGCCATGTGCAGGTGACAAACTTGCCAGCTTGCTAGCCCATTTGCCAGGGACAAATTCACAGGGTTGTCAGTTTCCATGCTGGAATTGCTCAGGTCCCCTCTCATTTGGATTGGTCCATTGGTTTTGCCCATCGAACACGAACCTCCCGCTGCTGCATGGCTGCGCGAGTGGCTCCAACTCTTCAGGCTGGAAACGCGCTTGCCTTGGCCTACACATGCTGAAAGTCTGACAATAGTTGAGCTGGGCAATGAGGTGTTTTATTGTGCCTAAAGGATCCTAAAGGTATGAATATGTCGACTGTTAGAAAACGCAGAACATGTTTTTACTTGCTACCATTCTGTTTGCCATTCTGAGCAGCCTTTATGACGCTGTCATTTAAAACGGTCTTGAACATCCTGACATGGGTGCCTTCTCATCTAAAAAGCAAAGAATCTGATGATTGCGTTCATTGGATTGTGCATGTATTAAACCTTCGCCCAATTCAACCACAAATCCGCGGAACGTCGTTGTGATGATGTTTTGGGTGGAGTCTTGAAGAAATTTTGTAGAGCCTCATTTGGATCCACCCAAACTCTCGCGGCCTGCAGACACTTGTCGCACACTGGCCATCGGCCTCGACTTGTTGAACCCTTCTCCAAAGTTGAGAATTTGGATATCCACAAAGAAAACTCTTGAAAGTTATCAGCGTCCCACCTCAATCTTGTTGTCTTCCCCAACCTAAATTATGCGGGCAGTGTCCACGACCTCGCATGATATGGGTAGAAGGAGATGTCTCAGAGAGGCGCCGTGTAAGCCAACGGCGGAATCAGTCAAGTGTAAAGAACATAGGCCCAACATCACACATTCTGCGCCAAACTCATATTTGGACGAGTGTTTCTGTGGGCGATCCAGACCTTGCAATTAATTAACCACTTCAGCCCAACCATGAAATCTTGTACCATGCAGCAGCCTCGTCCACACGCCCCATGTTTTCTCAGTGCATTTTCAATGAACAAATCAATTCCACGCATTTCATATGAACTTCGTTGACCTTGCAAAGTTCAATTAAATTTTAAGGGGTGCACTCTTCTGAGCTTGGTACTACAACTCCGAAACCAGAACCACATCAACTCCAGATCGCATGGGCAGAAACATGCCAAACATATCCAAAAGTCTTCAACAACCTGGTAGTGTTTGGCCTCGTTGATTCGTGTGGCCTTGCCGGTGTCAGCCCCTTGGCAAAACTGCGTTCAACGTCTCTTGACAGGTGCTGCTTGCGCACAGGAATTAGCTGGGCCCCATGCCTCCAAGTGCAATTCCTTGATTTCCAATCACACTCAAGCGTGAAGATCTCGGACAAAGTGATATCCCAAATACCAGAAGGGTGCAGTGCATATCCAGGTGTTGCTAGGTGTTTTCGGTGCGCCAGGACCCCAAAGAGCTGGTAAGTCATGCAGGCCAGGGAGATGCTGATGGTTGGTGGCAGGGGTGGTTCCGCGGGAGGAGCGTCTTAGAATTTTTGGTTAGAATGTATGATCCTGATTGTCGACTGAAACGGACACTATTCAGAATTTTCAGACCTTAAGATGGCAAGATGTCTTGACTTTTCAGACCTTAAGAATCCTTAAGATGTCTTGATTTGTCTGCTGGAGTTCTGAAGTATCAGCTGTACCAGTAGGTTCATTAGGGTCAACGGATTGCCTAAGAAGTGGGCGCAGAATTGGAGGTGTTGGTTTCTCTTGAAAACACATATCCCTTGAAAGCAAAACAAGCAGTCAATGGTGGTCTTTGACTCTTGATTTCAGGGTCTCACCTTTCAGGGTCTCGCCTTTCAGGGTCCAGAGCAAATTGCAGGAATTGCACACCCAAAATTGCGGAGGTTTGGCTTTCGGAGCTGAGTTGTGTTGCGAGGCAGCACACCTCACGACCTTGCAAAGGACGGCGATGACAAGAAGGTCATGGGTTTGCGGGTTCAATATGATCAATATGTCAAAATGTTCAATTGTTCATTATATATCTGTTTGCCTGTAGTGCTGGCACAGGTATATACAGGAACTGGCTGGTTGGACCTCGAGTCTTCAAGTGTAAATCCTCGTGGTCTGCCATCAAATTCTATCGGAATGCATCTAAAGTTGATTCACATTGTGTGAGGGTTGCTCATAGAACTGACCTTCGACTGGCAGAATCTAGCTAGCTAGCAGCTAGTGCATGAGCCAAGCGGCCAGGTTTTCGTGGCTCTGCTGAGTGGCAAAGACTGTGAATGTGACTCGGCCGCCCCATGGATACACCTTCCTTTGTCCATGCAAGGTGTAAGATGGTGTAAGAAAGTGTAAGCATGTAGAATCGCTATCAATCGCTGCTGTTGACGTACAAAGAAATGGCTACTGTCGATTTTCAAGTGTTACTGTTGCAGATTCATCAATCGATGTTGTTCTCCGAATTAACTGGCATCAGATGTGATGACCCGGTTGGTGCCCTACAAGGCTGCATCAGTGGACTATGTTGATACCTCCACTGACTCTTGTTTGCTTTTTCGGAATCTCAGGCCTGTGGTTGCAAGACCGGACTATCCGACAGCTGAAAGAAGAAGCTCAGCACCTTAGCACGTTAGGTGTGCGGCATATCATGTGGGGTTTGGATGGTTTGGTCCTGGCTTGTCTTTGGCGACTTTGTATTCTCTCCGACACTGTTTTGGTGTTTTCGGTCTTTGTGTTCCTTCTGCTACGTAGGTGTATCTTACTGGTTGTGCTACGTGCAACAGTTGTCAAACGGGAGTCGAGGAAGAACATGCCCAAGGCATTTGCATGGCCTTCAATGCTCGGTTGTACTTCCTATTTAAGGTGGTATAATGTGGTATACTGTATATTGTATATGTATGTATACTTGTTCTATCGAAGTTTCAATTATTTTCAAAGAGGCCAGGAAATATCAACTTAGACGCAGAATGAAGCAGGCGCAGTCAGTTTCTGGCGCTGCTCACACACTTCCGTTACGAAATGAGAGAAGAGCAGGGGATCGGTTGCAACCTGCAGTGCCCCACAGTTGAGTTGAACACCCGAGGCAAAAGCTGGATATTGCTATAAAGCACTTGATTGGTCACAACATGGAGCCGTTGCTGCTTGGGCTGCAAAGAACTCTTCAAAACTGTCGGCCGTTTCATTGATGTTGCGCCTGCTTAAGTTTGCAATATGATGCAATCGGACATGCAACCAGACCTAAAACACGATGTTGTGGCAGCAGTGAAACTCATACTGGGTCCATGGGCCTTTCTGTAACATCCGTAATGGTACCCAGCAATGTCTTTGAGATGTCTGGCAATGTCTTTTTGAAAATTGTGTAGGCAGCGATTAAGTCCAGGAAAGTCTGATGAAGTCCAGGAAAATACCGGTGTGCAAAGGCTCATTCGGTGAAGGACAATCAGAATGACAGCGTCCTCTGGAGAATGACTCGGGTTAGAACATGTTGGAACAATTTGTGAAAGCGGAATGAGATATTCTGATATTCCCAGGCATTGCAACTTGCAAAGAGTACACGTGCATGTCATTTATTGTTCGGATGTTCATACCAGTCCAACAGCAAAACAAAATGAAGGTCTCTTGAATCAAGATCACAAATTCTGGAACAAGAGCTTCGCTCGTTCAAGAGTACCTTTCCGTATTTGCCAAGGGATGAAGAGAAGATGCTCGCAGAAGAAAACGTCATGCCTGGCACAACGCTGACGGTCGTCGCAGCGGCCTGGCCTGTGACAGGAGCAATGTGACAGTAGTTCACTTGTCAGTGGTTGGGGGCCTTCAAATTCAAACAAGATTAAGCTCTTTCGCAGAAAGAGAAGAACAAGTTGCAAGAAGAACAAGTCAAGAACGAGTCAACCCATTTTGACATTGAAATAATTACATGATAAGCATCCCCAGCTCAAGCAACACAACCAGCGCATTGCAACGCATGCGCATGATGATTGTTCAAATGCTTCAACATGCACCATACTCATTTCGTGTTTCGGGATGGCGGGGCAAAAACATGTTGTGCAGCATTGCATGTTCAGAAGCATTTGTCGAGACTCGACCTGGAGGACCATTTATGTCCATGTCTATATCTGTCACATTGCGCGTGGATAATGAAGGCAAACATGCTTCATGAAGTGGTGGATCCTCAGCATGAGACCGCCTCCCTAAACAAGTTTCCGGACTTGACTTCAATGAAAACGCTTGTAATTCACCGGTGAGTTTTGTGTCTGTTCACTTGGCAGCTGAGGTAAACCAGGCAGCAGAGGATGAGAAAGAAGCGGCAGAATGCTGGGCTCTCAGCAGTTGATCCCAGGTCTGCTCCCTACATGGTCAGCGCTTTCTCAACACATCTCGACACACATGGCACGAATTTACCAAACTAATTCTGAAACGATATCCCATCATATCCCATCATATACCATCTGACCTCAAAATCAGATGTTTCATATTGTTTCATGATGTTTCCATTTTCTCCCAGTCTTCGTTCTATACAATTTAAGCATATCCAAAACATACAATACACATAGTTGTTGAGCCAACAAATTGAGAGGAGTCAGACTGATTGCATGAGGTGATGTTGAGGTCATGTTGAGGTCATGTTGAGATCCATGGATTGTCTTAAAACCAAATCATCATGTACTTGAATTAATTGTGGTTACTCAAACTTAAATTTCATTCTAGCTCAAGTCTTCCTGTAACGAATTTTGGGTCTCCGTTGTGGCCTCTGCGGCCCTTCCACCGGTGCCCTCCCGGGGCGGCCCGTGGCCCTCCCAGGCAACAACGACATCTTCACGGCGGCCTACCGCGGTCACCTCGGGGGGGTCCGGCACCTCCTGCGGACGGTGCCCGGCGCCGTGGCCAGGATTAGCAACTTGGGCCGCACCGCCCTGCACTACGCGGCGGGCGAAGGCTACGCGGAGATGTGCCGGGTGCTGCTGGCGGCGGGGGCCGATGTGGACGCCAGTGGCGGCGACGGCCTCTCGGCCCTGAAGAGATGGATGCACGGTGCTTTGGGGAGATTTCAAGGTGCCAAAAAATTCGAAGTCAAAATGTGAAATGATGTTAAATGATGTGAAATGTAAACGGTAGGGTGGGTTTGGTAGGTTTTATAGGGCTTTTATTAAAGCAGTTTCCAGTTGAAATAATTTGGATCAACAACCACATCACATGGTCAGGATTTGTAAAAACAACAGATATCATCACAATTCAAACAACTATAACTTGAATTTTTGAAAGTAATGAAAGGATTTGAATTGGGGACATTTTCAGCTTTTGATGGAGCCTTGGATGTGCGCCTTCTAGGAGACTTGGGACGTTCATGGATTGTTGCATTTTTCACATGCTTTGTTGTTTTCGCTTTGCTTTGCATCAGAAGGACATTTCTGGGGGCAGTCGCTCGCCCGAGGTGAGACCCCGCTGCATTGGGCGGCGGATGACGGCCAAGTGGAGGTGGTGAACCTTCTCCTCGAGGCGAAAGCCTCCGTCACTGTGAAAGACGACAAAGGCCGGGGGCCTCGGCTGGGAGATGTGATGGGCTTTTGATGGCTTTTGCTTTCTTATCTGATTCTATTGTAATCTATTGTATTACTATATACTTATTATAGTACTTTATGGTGGCTGTTTTGTTTGTTGAACGTTGAGACTTCCTGTGGTCGGGAGGCCATCAATGGGTCTTAGGGTCCTCAGGCACTAGGGTTGTTTAGCTGAAGGTGATTGGAGATGCGGAGACACAGTACGCATGTAGACAGGCATTCTACCACATCCTCAAGACACAGCGTTGCTTGAGACAACGCACGCAGCATGGGACGAGGTCTCAATGGATGGAGACTCACTGAATGTTTGTTGATAGAAATGTATCATGATGTATCATATGATCCATGGTATCTGTGAATATGCACAACGCACATCCAGCCTCCGCATGTGCAATACGTTGCATGAAAATGATGCGTGCATACTACATATAATATACACATATCCTCATTTGTTCGAGATATTTTTCAAGATGCCAGAGCGAAATTATACAACACCGAACTTGCCATCTCGAAGCTGTATGGGCATGTATGGACAACCCGATTCTCTAGATGTTTTTCTCATTGGAATTCTTTGCCCTCCTGGACTGAACTAGCACAGGAACCGTCCAATCGGTTGATTTTGTGTTGAGGGTATTTTACTTGAAAGCAATATCTCGGGAATACTTTTCTTACGTGCTTATATCCGTGAGAAGCACCATTTCAAATGCATGTGTTATTTGTTTTGGTCTGGGGGTTCGAATTTGAAGGTCTCCTTCAACTGCGAATGCCACAAAAGGATGCGGAAGTGATGTGAAACTGCAGTCTTTCCAGCTTTCCACAAGTTTCAACACAGTCTATGAACGCTACCATGAAAGTTAATGGCAAGCTCTGGACTCTGGCCCTGGGGTTCAAGGAGGGCTTGTCTCTGGGAGATAGAACTTCCGCCCAATCAACATTGTTAACATGGGGTGTGAATAGCGTTTGGAGCAACTTGAATAGCTGGCGTGAAGAATGAGGGCAACATCAGACGCTCTACAAATCTCTACAAGTAAATTCTTCAATATATGGCTTTTGAAATGACATCAAGACCCATGAGTGTGGTGCAATCAACATCAATTGCAGCGCTCAGGCCGGACTCCATTGGACCATGCACGAACACAGGGCAAGGATGAAGTTGTGAAGATTCTGGAGAGTGCAGAATCTTGGCTGCACAAATGTGTCAACGATAGCAGGTCGTTCGTTTCGGAGTCCGAAGCTTCCAGCAAGACGCAGCTACAGCCACAGATTTTGATTGTGCCTTTGCTTTACCTGAGGCATGAAGCTTGAACGTTTGAGCGTGGAGCAACTCAGCTGTTGGTGCGATCTCTGGATTGATGGTGCGGCCTTGATGTTTCACGCGCCCTTGGTCATATCGGTACGAAAATGCAAACATCTATGCGCGCACAAACAGATTACTGTTTTCCGAGAGGTTCAGAATTGAAGGAACATGTTTCTCATTTGGGTTCTTTTCTTGCTCAGATATGTTTCGACCACGGAAACGACACTCTATCAGCGAGCCTTCTGGAGTTTCCTTCCAACCATTTTGTTTGCTTCAAGTGTCTGGAGTCATCATGCTGCTTCTTGGCACATCCTGGTTCAAGCCTCGGAAGATTGAAATCAAGCCTCGGTCGCCATGTGCAGTTGACAAACTTGCCAGCTTGCTAGCCCATTTGACAGGGACAAATTCACAGGGTTGTCAGTTTCCATGCTGGAATTGCTCAGGTCCCCTCTCATTTGGATTGGTCCATTGGTTTTGCCCATCGAACACGAACCTCCCGCTGCTGCATGGCTGCGCGAGCGGCTCCAACGGCCTACACATGCTGAAAGTCTGACAATAGTTGAGCTGGGCAATGAGGTGTTTTATTGTGCCTAAAGGATCCTAAAGGTATGAATATGTCGACTGTTAGAAAACGCAGAACATGTTTTTACTTGCTACCATTCTGTTTGCCATTCTGAGCAGTCTTTATGACGCTGTCATTTAAAACGGTCTTGAACATCCTGACATGGGTGCCTTCTCATCGAAAAAGCAAAGAATCTGATGATTGCGTTCATTGGATTGTGCATGTATTAAACCTTCGCCCAATTCAACCACAAATCCGCGGAACGTCGTTGTGATGATGTTTTGGGTGGAGTCTTGAAGAAATTTTGTAGAGCCTCATTTGGATCCACCCAAACTCTCGCGGCCTGCAGACACTTGTCGCACACTGGCCATCGGCCTCGACTTGTTGAACCCTTCTCCAAAGTTGAGAATTTGGATATCCAGAAAGAAAACTCTTGAAAGTTATCAGCGTCCCACCTCAATCTTGTTGTCTTCCCCAACCTAAATTATGCGGGCAGTGTCCACGACCTCGCATGATATGGGTAGAAAGAGATGTCTCAGAGAGGCGCCGTGTAAGCCAACGGCGGAATCGGTCAAGTGTAAAGAACATAGGCCCAACATCACACATTCTGCGCCAAACTCATATTTGGACGAGTGTTTCGGTGGGCGATCCAGACCTTGCAATTAATTAACCACTTCAGCCCAACCATGAAATCTTGTACCATGCAGCAGCCTCGTCCACACTCCCCATGTTTTCTCAGTGCATTTTCAATGAACAAATCAATTCCACGCATTTCATATGAACTTCGTTGACCTTGCAAAGTTCAATTAAATTCTAAGGGGTGCACTCTTCTGAGCTTGGTACTACAACTCCGAAACCAGAACCACATCAACTCCAGATCGCATGGGCAGAAACATGCCAAACATATCCAAAAGTCTTCAACAACCTGGTAGTGTTTGGCCTCGTTGATTCGTGTGGCCTTGCCGGTGTCAGCCCCTTGGCAAAACTGCGTTCAACGTCTCTTGACACTACACTTTACACTTTCACACCTTACACCTTACACTTCACTTTTTACACTTTACACTCCACACTCTACACTCTACCCTTGACACTGCGCACTCAACACTTCACACTCCACACTCTACTTTTTACACTTCACGCATTACATTTTGCACGGTGCACTTCACACTCTGCACTTTACACTTTACACTTTGCACTCCACACTCTACACTTTACACTCCACACTTTACACTTGACACTCCACACTTTATACTTTACACTCTACACTTTACACTTTACTTTTTACACTTCACACTTAACACTTGACAATCCGCACTCTACACTTTACTCTTTACACTATATACCCCACACTCTACTCTTTTCACTCTAAAACTTTACACTCTACATTCTACAAATAGAACTCCACACTTCACAGTCTACACTTCACACTGTACACTGTACGCTCCACACTCTACGCTTTGCATTCCACACGCTACGCTTTACACTTGATACTTTCACGCTTTACACCTTACATTTTTCTTTACGCCCTTTTAAAAAATATGCTTACAAATGGCGTCCGAACATAATTCCGAAAATCGTCCTTTTCTTGAATTTGGTCCTCCGAAGTTCCGAAATATTGTTGGTTCAAACCCCAAAACACCTCAGACTTCGCAAATGGTTGTTTATCCTACTGGTGATAACGTATTGGGATGGAGGACCCCTAATTTTCATAATAAATTCTCAAGTGAGTAAGACAAACTGATTTGCCACGATTTTTTACAGAAGCGTTCTGATTTTGTTGGCATGGGCCCATACCCCAAATGAGACATTTTTTTGCATAGGTATCAATGAGGGAACTTGGATAGTATTGAGATCTTGGAAATGATTGGACATAAAGGATATTCGTAGGGGAAATGGTAATTCGATTGCAAATGAATGTATTTTTTTAACTTCTTGAAATATGTTTTGATTGGCCAAATTGTTGATGTTTGTTTGATCCGGATATTTGAGTTCCGTCCTGAATTTCCAGGGTCGAAACCTTTGGATTTTGGGTCGCAGATTCCGTTCCGGAGTGCTTAACATAGTCCTCCTGTCCCTAGCCTTTGCATGGTCGACGTACAGTGTGAGTTGACCACTGGTTGAAACTTCACAATCAGCAGCATCATCTCTCTTGATTTGCGCAATCTGAATGCATACATGTTCCTACCTGGACTTCGATGCACGCTGGCCATGTGCGAATAGCTGTATGTTGTATACATGTGCGTGCACTTCCTGACAAGTTTCCAACAATACACAGCTTCTTGCTTCTTGTCGCCTGTGGAAATATGTGTCATTCTTCTCACAGATTGATCTCTCCACATTTGGGGCCTCAGGCAGAAAGGAACAAACCGTTAAAACTGTCTTATGGTTTGGTTGGCTTTGAGTACGCTTTGGTTCAGCTTTTTGCGCGGTTGTTGTCCAGGCAAAGAAACCAGAAAGAAGGCAAGTCCAGGCGGAAGGCAAGGGGCATGGTTACAACAGGAATGACTTTCTTCCAACTTCTAACTCTACTTGTTGGAGTCTTCCACCAACATCCACCAACATCAGATTCGGAGCATTCTTAGGATTTTTTCCAGCCCCGCTAAGTAACAAACATCCTCAACGTGCATATATTTCTTCCAGACACAGAAATTTCGAGCCTGACAA